TCGCTCGCCAAGCGCTCCTCTGGGGTTGCCGACCTGATGTGTTGCGGTGCCGCCAGCAGGAGGTTCCCGTTGAACACCAGCCAATACGCTTCGTTCTGGCCTTCGCGTCCCCACTCCCTGCCGAGGATGACTGCTGGACCGTGCCAACGGTCTGCTCGTCTTGTAGATCGTGCCTGCGGCTTGAAGGCACCTGCCGCTCGCCAGAAGAACACGCACTCTCCGGGCATCCACGGCGAGGGTGTGGGTCGATAGTTGTGAACGATGGCCTTCCTCCACTTGTCACTGTTGTCCAGCTTCGCCAGCGCGACCTGAGCCGCCTCGCGTATCTTCTGAGACCGCTGGACCTGGTAGTCCTTGAGCACCGCGTCGTGCACGGCGATCTCTGGGTACTGTTCGTCGCTGAGGAGGCTGTCCAGCACGCTGCCTGGTAACCTGTCTCCACAACCGAAAACTCTCATCCTGGGGCTGTATCCTGATGGATCCACTCTTCGGATCTTGCAGATGTTCGCCGCCGCTATGGCTAACTCCATCTCGGCCGGGCCCTGGATGGTGCACTCGCCCACAATCGCGCGCGCGATGTCGTTGCTGACGGCCCCGTGGCGCTCGACCAGCCCGTGTTGCCGCGGACTTTCCGCGGGCACCACTCTCATCGTGATTCCCACCGACTCCGCGTAGGATGCAAAATCCTTCCTGAACTCCGAGCCGTTGTCGGAGTGACACACAATAGGTACTCCGGCCCAGGCGCACCACTTCGTCATGAACATCCTGGCTGCCTCTGCACTGGAGGGATTCTCCGGCATGATCAGGCACGAGAACTTCGTCGCGAAATCCACGCAATTCAGGGCCAGGTACTTGCCTCCACTCGCGTCCTTCAGCTCCCTGTTGTCCACCCCGACCGCGATCCCAAATGACGTGGGTCTCTGTCGGCTCGACACCACTCGACGTCGCTCTGGAGCTGCTCGTCTCGCGCACACCTCGCACTGCCATGCCTTCGCGTAGTCCAGGTGCAGCTGGGAGGCCCCGCCTAACCTCATCACTCGTAGTAGCGCTTCACGGCCGCAATGACCCAGATTCCTGTGTGCTCGTCGTACTTCCGCGCGAACTTCAGGCGGAACATGGGCCACTTCTTGTTGGCCTCTCGTCGCAGTGAATATCTCGCCCGCTGGGAGATCCTCTGGATACAGCGGGTCCCTGGTGATGTCCGCCTCCTCTGGCACGTCCCCCTCCTGTTCCACCTCGTCCTCCGGGTTCTCGTTCTCTTCCGCTGTCGTCGGAGGTACTTGCTGCTCTTGAGGCTCTGGTGGTTGTTGTCCTTCAGGATCTTCTGGGGGTACTTCCGGTAGAACTTCGGGTAGAACTTCAGGTAGAACTTCAGGTAGAACTTCAGGTGGGGCTTCAGGTGGGGCTCCTCGGAGTCCGGGCGGAACCTTCTTCAGCATCGTCACCACCTTCCGCAGTTCTCCTCGCGTGCCCGAGGTTTCTGGTCCATCTTGGTCCACCTGTTTGTCAAACTCTTCGCAATACCACTTCTTCCCGCCACGGTCACTTGTCTTCTTGACCGCATAAACTGATCTCACGGTGTGCTCGGGGTAGTTCTTCGACCATAGTTGAACCCGACCTTGTCCCACGTGTATTACAAGGTCGCCACTGCCATGCCAGCCGGGCGTCAACTTCGTCAAATACCTCGTCTGATCGAATGAAACTGTACGTCGTAGTTGGCTAGCGCCGCCATGTGAAAACGTCGGCGCTCGCACCTTCTTGATGATGCCCTTCTTGTCGTTACCCAAACGTGAACGCGTGGGTGTGGTACCCAAACGTGAACGCGTGGGTGCGGTGATAGGTGGAGTAATCGTAATCGGAGGAGTCGTAGATACAACCCTCACTCTCTTCTCCTTTTTGTTGGGCGTGTGGGGCTGGCATTCTCCGTTTTGATATCGTCGGTGTGGTAATGCGTCGTCGTTTTGCCTCGTTCGCAAGGGCGTCGTGTGCATTCCTTATGTCCAACGCCTCCATGAACACGCTGATAACGGCCTCGGCGAACTCCTTCGTGCAGCCGCCGGCGCACGTGCTCGTCCTCATGTTTTGCTTAGCCAATCGCCCTTCGATCCTAGCGTGTTGTCGGTGTCCTGGGCACCGTCGTTCGAGCTTGTCCGCCATTGTCTGTGTGGACATGATGATTCGCGATGGCTTCTTAATAGGTAGATCCGAGTCTGGATGTCGGAGCCCGAACGCGCACATGTCCACCACCGTCGTGCCGCGCGACTTCAGCAGCTCCACTATCGGCTCCTCCTGGAAGGCCTTGCTTGTGAGCGGGTTCTCGCCGTAGAAGTAAGCTCCGCGCTTGCGTTGGTAGTCAGCCACCCTCTTCGCGAACCTCAACGCTCCACGGGACTGCTGTTGTCGCACCTGCAACTCCTTCTGGAACGCCGGGCGGCGTGCCTGGTAGTTGTGCATCACCGTCCAGGGGTCACAGGGCCAAGCCATGGCCACCACGTCCGGCTTGTTGTCGACGACCTCCCTCCAGGCTCGCGCCCGCCCAGAACGCGTGTAGAGGTCGAAGCCCGTCTCGATGCTAATTGGCGGCATGACCTGCCACCCTTGCGCCGCCGCCTCGCACGATAGAGCAAGCGCCCACGAGAATATCTCCAGGAACTTCCACCTCTTGGATCTCGACGTCACCGTCGGTGGGTCCTTGTGGACGGATCTCTTCGCCTCTGCAGCCAACGCATCCGCAACTCCTCTCGTGGTCCTCTGCAACCGCTTCTTCCTACCTCGCTGTAGGACTCCAACACGCGAGAGGTCCTTGAACCCGAGTTCGCCGGCCTCCTCCTGTGGGGTCATGTCCATCTTGCCATTGATATGGAAACACTCCGGGAACTCGTTCGGGTTGCCATACTCTCCGATGTCTACGAGGAAATGTCCCGACCGTGATTGTTTGATCGGCTTCTTGAACACTCCGGCCTCCTCGATGTCCATCACCTTCTTGCGGTAATTGACGATCACGCCTAGATCCTGCATCGCCTGCTGCGATAGCAGTGGTGGTGTTCGTCCTTCCACTCGAGCCACCTCAATGACTCCGTGTGTGCCATTTATCCCAGCAGGATAGACGTACGACTCCGTGCTGACTGCCACGTCACCGCCGCCGAACCTGAACTCCTCATTGATGTCCTTCTTGACCGGCTGGAGGCCCAAACTCTTCAGGTGGGTCTGCAAGTTGTCGTGCCACTCGTGACCTGCGACGCTGCGCCTGCACCCGCTATCGTTGATGAGCTCCGTCGTGCCGATGTCGTCCCACAACACGTCATTGACCGCGAGCGCGTCCTTCTTGTCCTCGCGGCTGCACGCCTTGTCCCTGATTTCCTTCGCGTAGTTCGTCTTCGGGATCCGCTGGACGCATCGGTTGCAGTTCTTGCAGATCGCGAACGTCCAGGTAGATGTGTTTGTCCAGCGTACGTTGTCCAGGATCTCGCCGGAGCCCGCATTCTTGTGCTCGCAGGGATTCTCCACCTGGTCGGTGATGAACGATATCAGCCTATCGATCCTCTCCTGCTTTGAGCCGCTGTAAGGCTGCTCGAGCATCAAGAGTATATCCTGCAGCTGCTTCGCCGTCAGGATCCTGAACACCTCCAGCTCGCAGTCGGTCACGTACCCCGTGTGGTGGTCGCGCGCGCGGTTCGTGAAGTCCACCACGAACTCGCCCAGCCGCGCCCTGTGCCGATCGACCAACGAGCGTACGTCGCCGCCGCTGATGTGGATCCTCTCAGACTGGAACCTCGAAGCCGCTGGTGTCGATTTAGGCTTCGGCCGCGCTGAGGGCTTTGGCTTCTTGCCGCCATCGGCACTTCCAGCCGCTCCAGAGGGTTTCTTTTCCACGTCCTGCCATCCGTCAGCTTCTTTATCCATGAACGTCGCGTGCAGGTTGGATCGGAGGAGTCTTCCGACCAGCTCCTCCCGCGGTCCTGTCGATTTGTGCTTCCTCCTTGCCAACTCCGCACTGAGCTGCTCCTCGGTCCAGCTCTTGTAGACCCCCTCGGATTCGTCTGAGTCCTTCTCGAAGGAGTCGTCTTCGAACTCTGAGCCCGGTGTCGGAGGCCTCCTGGGATCCAGCCCAAGGTTGTCGCTCTCTTGCTTCACCTCCGCCTTGACCTTCTGCGAACCCAGCACGAAGGCATCCACCGGTCCCGGATGGGGAGATGGCAATTCTTCCGCTCCGTCGTTCAACCACTTGAACTCCATGTGCGCCGTACTGTCCGTAGCCATCGTTGCTGCCACGTTCGCCGAGGAAGAACCCTTCTTGCCGTCGCCCTTGCCGCCAGGCTTGAACGGAGACGTAATCCCCGCGATCACCTTCGGGCACTCTGGGTCGCCCTTCCAGCGGCCTGGCTGAAGGCAGTCGTCGCACACTCCGGACTTCTTTCCCCGGCCGCCACTCGCGGTGTTCTTCCCGCGTCCCTTGCCGCGGCCAAACTGCTTCTTCTTCGCCTTGAAGCCCTGGTAGAACACGTCCAGCACCACCTCCTCTTCGTCGCCCATGGCGTCCGAGTCCTGATCGCCGTACTCGCACTCGTCCTCCTGGTGGTTGTCTGGCGCCTCCTCCGCCACGAGGGCGTCTTGTGGCTGACCGTCTTCGTCCTCGTAATCAGGGTAATCTTCATCTTGGCTGAACTCTTCATCTGCGTCCATTCCTCCTGCGTAATTGGCATTCCAGACTGGCCGCCGAAACCAGCCTTTTACACCTCCCGATGCTCCGGAAGGTTTTCCTCCTCCCGCACTGCTGCCTGAAGTAAACTTCGCAGTGGGCTGTCCAAACCGTGGAGGGAACTGTCGATACTGCGTGTGCTTGCTCGGGTGCTCGTTCCTCTTGTCAACACGCCGCTTCTCGTCTAGGTGAACATCTCCATAGACCATCTTGATCGTCGCTTCGATCTTCTCCGAATTCCACTCCGCGCCCGCTGCTGCTAGTACCTGCCGCTGGGCTTCTCGTGATAGCCCTGAGCTCCGCAAGAGCTTTCTTGCGAATGAGGTGTCGGAGTACGTGGTGCCAGGGTCGTGTACCTCAAGATTGCGCCTGGCCGTCTTCAACCTCGCGATGTAGTCGTCGACATCTTCTCCAACGCCTCTGCGGCACTTCTCGAACGCCCTGAGGCGCTTCTCGCTACGCTCGTAGTCCTTCTCGGTGAACTCCTCGTCTAGAATCTCCATCAGCTTCCGCAGGCCGACCTCGCTGCTGAGCACGTCTAGGTCGAGTGTCTCGACCAACTCCCTTGGCTGTCGATCGCCCTTCTCCAGGCTGAGGTACACCAAGGGTCCGAGGTCCGCTGGAGCCACCTTGTAAATCTTCTCGATGATCTCAATCTCCTTCCGCCACTCGCGATAGGAATTTGGATTCCTCGCCAACTCCTTGCTGAGGACCGGGAGCTTCACCCCTGGCATTCGACCATCACCTCGAAACTGCAGACCACCTCCATCGGCGCCTGCTTGTTCTCCTGTCTCTGGCATCGTGTGCAGGAGATCCCAACTGCTGCTCACAGACTCGCTGTCCGTGCTCTCCGTCTCGTCAGTGTCCGTGACCTGCTGCGGCCACTCACTCGATAAGCGCTGCCCACTGACTTCGTGAATGATAGGAACCAATCGCTCCCGCTACCAATGCGAAGATCTGCTTGGAATGAAAAGATGCTTCTTTCCTGCTGCTCGTGCCGAGCTTGACCCAAGGCCTACGGATCGAGTCTGCTGCATGCTGAAACCACAACTGCGTGCTACAAGCAACAACTGCGGCTGCTTTTCCTCCTCCTCCTCCTCCTCCTCCTCATTTTCCTCCTCCTTCTCCTCCTCATGTGTTTCCTCCTCCTCCCTCCTCTCCTCCTCCTCCTCCTCCTCCTCCTCCTCCTCCTCCTCCTCCTCCTCCTCGTCCTCCTCCTCCTCCTCCTCCTCCTCCGCTCCTCCTCCTCCCTCCCTCCTCCTCCTCCTCCTCCTCCTCCTCCTCCACCGATCCGGCTCCCCTCCTCCTCCTACTCCTCCTCCTCCTCCTCCTCCTCCTCCTCCTCCTCCTCCTCCTCCTCATCATCATCACATCCTCCTCCTCTTCCTCTCATCCACCTCCTCCTTATCCTCCTCCTCCTCCTCCTCCTCCCTCCTCCTCATCCTCCTCCTCCTCCTCCTCCTCCTCCTTCTCCCCCTCCCTCCTTCTCCTCCTGCTCCTCCTGCTCCTCTCCTCCTCCTCCTCCTCCTCCTCCTCCTCCTCCTCCTCCTCTCCTCCTCCTCCTCCTCCTCTCCTCCTCCTCCTCCTCCTCCTCCCCTCCTCCTCCTCCTCCTCCGTCTCCTCCTCCTCCTCCTCTTCTCCTCCTCCTCCTCCTCCTCCTCCTCCTCCTCCTCCTCCTCCTCCTCCTCCTCCTCCTCCTCCTGCTCCTCCCCCTCCGCCCGGGGTGGGGGGGGCCTGCTGCTCCGGAGCGCCAGCTCCCACACAAGGAAAAGATGATAAAACTCTCACCGAAACGTCCGAAACGCCCGCCGGCGCCTAAATGCGCGAGGGGAGCGGCCAGGGAGGGTCCTCCTCCTCCTCCTCCTCCTCCTCCTCCTCCTCCTCCTCCTCCTCCTCCTCACCTCGTCCTCCTCCTCCTCCTCCTCCTCCTCCCCCTCCTCCTCCTCCCCCTCCTCCTCCCAGGGATTGATTTTTGATCCTTGAGCAGGGGCAACGTGACTCCAGACTTCGTAATAAAGGGAGGGGGGTCTCATTTCGGGGGGGGTCTCTTCCAGGCTATCTTGGAGGGCCTGGGGTGGTCTGGGGACGATGTTTTGGAGGGTTCTCCCACGGGGGGGGGTCTGAAATGGCTTGTTTTGGAGGGTCCAGACCCCCTCCCTTTTATTACGACATCTGGAGTAAGGAAGAAGAGAGCCCTTGGAACCCAGCAGAACCTCACTGAGAAGCGTGCTGGCCGGTCTTCCGAGCCACTGTGAGCTGTGGCGGCGAGAGGGGCCCCTGACGGCCCCGAAGGTCCAGAAGAGGAAGAGCAGGGGGAGAAGGTGGAGGAGGAAGAGGGCGGAGAAGGCGGAGAAGGAGGAGGAGGAGGAGGAGGAGGAGGAGCGCGTGGCGGGGAAAAACGCGGAGGACACGGCTGAGCGCCGGACCGGAGACCTGCCCTACTGGCCGCTATCGGCCTGCTTTCAGCGCAACCCGCGCGCGTGGATTCGGCGCCGCCTCACGCAGCCGCTGTCGACCTGCATGTGTGGTGCGGCACTGGAGCTGTGGTTCCTACCAGTTGGTGCGGGGAAGATGCACCACGCAACGTCCTCATGTGCCAGTGCTGCGCGTTGGCGTGTCAAACTGGTAGCACGAGGACCGAGCATGAGGCAAAATGCGACCAAGTGAAACTTGCAATGCCCTAAGGCCGCCTCGCCTACCTGATGCGATCAGTGCTGAGCCTGGTCTTTCTGGTGCTCTTGGGGCTGATCTTGGGGGTGTCGCCGGCGCCTCCAGCAGCGCGGTCGGTCACCGCCAAGTTGGCCAGCCCTGACGAGGAGGGGCGTCGCAGGGGAGGACCATCTCAGAGGCGGACAGAGGCCCCACTCATCTCCCTGGGGCGACCTATCAGAAGCCCAGCTGGATCTTGAATACACTCCCACACACACACACAGAACGTCCCGACACGTCCCCCTCCTCCTCCTCCTCCTCCTCCTCCTCCTCCGCCTCCTCCTCCTCCTCCTCCTCTTTCTACTCCCCCTCCACCTCCCTCCTGCTCCTCCTGCTCCTGCTCCTGCTCCTCTCCTCCTCCTCCTCTCCTCCTCCTCCTCCTCCTCCTCCTCCTCCTCCTCCTCCTCCTCCTCCTCCTCCTCCTCCTAGTACTCCTCCTCCTCCTCCTCCTCCTCCTCCTCCTCCTCCTCCTCCTCCTCCTCCTCCTCCTCCCCCACTCCTTGCCTCTCCAGCTGCCTTCTCCTCGATGTCTAATCATCGTTGTGCTAAGTATTAATATTAGTATTAGTAAGAGCATCAGGATTCGCACTTGCATGAATAGCAGGAGTATTGCTATTATTCGTAGTGTGGTTATTATGAACAATACTACGTGGATCAGGGTTAGTAGTACTATCATCGTGTGCATTACTAGTATGGCTATTGGCATTCTTCTTATGCGTACTCGAATTAATGTTACTGTTATTACTAATATTACTAGTATTCCTCCTCCTTCTCCTATTCCTCCTCTTCGTCCTCCTCCTCATCATAAGCATCATCATCTTCGTCCTCCTCCCCCTCCTCCTCCACTCCTTCCTCCTCCTCCTCCTCCAACACGTCACTATCATCAGCATTGGCATCATCATGATCAATAGCAGCATCAGCATCATCATCAGCAGCAGCATCATCATCTTCATCATCATCATCAGCATCATCCTAGTCATGATCACCACCATCGTCATCCGCATCAGCATCATCATCATCACCAGCATCAGCATCATCATTATCATCAGCAGCAGTAAGGCATCATCATCCTCATCAGCATCATCATCGTCATTATCATCACCATCATCATACTCATCAACAGCATCATCATCAGCAGCAGTACCACCAGCATCATCATCAACATCTGCAGCGTCATCATCGGCATCATCGGCATCACCATCATCAGCAACATCATAAGTTTCATCATGTCCAGCATAACCAGCATCATCATAATTATTATCATCAGCACGAGCATCAGCATCATCATCATCATAAGCAGCATCAACATCATAATCATAATCATGATCAGCATCAGCAGAAGCATCTTCATCATCATCACTCAGCAGCAGCATTATCAGTAACGCATGAGCAACAGCATCAGCATCAGCAACAACATCATCATCAGCATCAGCATGAGCAACATCATCATCAGCAGCATCATCACTATCAGCAGCATCATCATCAGAATGAGCAACAGCCGCAGCATTGTCATCCTCATCAGTATCGTCATTATCAGCATCGTCGTCGTCATCATCACAACCAGTATCACATCAGCATCAGCAGCAGCAGGACCATAAGCACCATCACCATCATCAGCACCAGCATCAACATCATCATCATCATCATCATGATCATCATCATCGTCACCATCCTCATCATCATTAGCAGCAGCATCATCAGCATCGTCATGACCGTCACCACCGTCATCCTCCTCCTCTTCTTCCTCCTCCTCCTCCTCCTCTCCTCCTCCTCCTCATCCTTCTCCATTCCTTGTCCTTATAGATAACTCCTCCCTGTCGCACCCCGAGGCCAGTTTTTAGGGCGGGCCGGGCGCTTCGCCTGAGACTCCCTCACCATTGATGGTTCTGAAGCTTAAACAGTGACAACAGTTTCACAGGTGGAGGGCGGGTCGTTTTCAAAATGTGGCTCTCGCCTTAGCGCCGCGCACATTCGTCTTCAAAGTTTGCAAGAGCCTCAAAGATTGAGGGCGGGTGGTTTTCAAAATGTGGCTCTCGCCTTAGCGCCGCGCGCACTCGTTTTAAACATTTGCAAGAGTTTCGCGGATTGGGGGCGGGTGGTTTTCAAAATGTGGCTCTCGCCTTAGCGCCGCGAACACTCGATTTCAAAATATGCAAGAGCTTCAAAGACTCAAGGCGGGTGGTTTTCAAAATGTGGCTCTCGCCTTAGCGCCACGCACACTCGTTTTAACAATTTGCAAGAGGTTCACGGATTGAAGGCGGTTCCTTTTCAAAATGTGGCCCTCGCCTTAGCGCCGCGCACATTCGTTTTCAAAATGTGCAAACGCTTCACGGATTCCCATGATCAACGTACCAAAAACTGAGATTCGGAAAGATTCAAGGTCATGCGGGTGCAACAGTTATGTTGATTCGCAAAGTTAAAGTCCAAAAAATGGCGTTCTGGCAGGACTCCGGATCGCCGAAACGCAGCAGTCAGGTTGATACGTGGCGCTGAGATCACGAGAACCATGTTTCGGCATGCTTCAGGATCTTCAGACGGTTGTCTTCCAACGAGGCAGTTCCTTCAATGAAAATGAACCGTCGTAGGGGCCTATGAAGAGGGAGCTTGGAGGGAGGGTTCATTCCAACATCGTTGATGACTCTTGGGTTTACACTGGTCCTCCTCCTCCTCCTTCTCCTTCTCCTCACCCTCCTGGTGTTTCTCCTCCTCCTCATCTTCATCATCACGATCATCACACCCATCGTCACCAGCACCACGGTCACCATCATCATCATCATCAGCAGCAGCAACAGCTTCATCAGCAGCTCATCATTATAACCATCATCATCCCACCAAGCAGCCTCATAATCATCATCACCAGCATCATCATGAACTTCATTATCATCGGCATCAGCATCAACATCATCATCAGCATCATTATCTTTAGTATTAGCCTTATCCGCATCCTCATCACCATCGATCTATTCATTATGTTGCAGCATCAGCTTCATCCTCATCATCAGCATCAGCCTCAGCATCCTCATCAGCATAACCGTCGTCAGAAGCAGCAGCCAGCATCAGCATCGTCAGCAGTTGGATACTAAGAGCTACCGCTGGAAGCATCAAAATGATGATCATCCGCAGCATCCTCATCTGTATTATCAACACCACCAGCATTACCATCACCATCACAGCCACAACCATAATCACCAGCATTACCTTTATCACCATCACCAGCAGCATCACCATCGCAATCGCCATCATGATCATAATCAGCATGGGCATCATCATGACCACCACCATCACCATCCTCTTCTACTTCGTCCGTGCCCACCTCTTTTGTCATTACTCCTCCCCCCCTTCCTCCTCCTTCTCTTCCTCCTCATCTTCCTCCCCCTCTGTATCCCACATTTCCGCCCACCCTCTTCCTCATCATTCCTCTTCCTCCTCCTGCCCCTCCCGCTTCTCAGGCCTCCTCCTCCTCCTCATCCTGCTCCTCTGCCTCCTCCACCTCATCCTGCTCCTCTGCCTCCTCCGGATTATCCTCCTCATCCCAATCCTCCTCATCATCATCAGAATCCGGCCGGCGAACTCGAGATCTGGTGGGACTCCGGACAAGGTCACATGGACAATCTGCATCAACATGTTCTATCCCGCCGAAAGGAGGCCAAATCTAATGAGTTACTGGGGCCTCCGCCGTCTTCCACCTGGGTTGTTAACTATGGAATATCTTCCGACGGGTCCCGCAGCACTGGCGGCACCACTGGCGCACGTTGTGCACAACACTTACCCCAAAAAGCCAAGCATAGCCACGGGTCTGATCTCGAAAACAAGACGGCGACGCTAAGCAACTATGTATGTACTCTGGCAGTGTGCGCTACGCGATTGCATTTCCATACGCACACCAATGAACACATCGACCACGGCGAAGTGATCTGCATGCGACCGGAAAACCCCATTCAAACCCTCGACACGAGAAAAGGAAACACTGCTAACTCCGAGCGGCCCTTTACGTTAATAGGACTCGCGACAGAGCGGCCAGGCGATCTCGATCAGCGCGTATGAATATCGTGAAATGGCGGCCAGGCAACCATCGCACCCGTAGAACCCCACACGCAACTACGATTCACTAGGTTCACTCGCATGCTCGCGGGCACGGGCTGCCACCGATTATCACGACAGACACGCTCGATCCCCAATATTGTATGTGTCACAGAAACCTTGCTGACTGTGATCGTACGGTACGTCATCATCGCTGGTCCTCTTTCAAGGATTGCTTTCGACCTGATCAGACTAGACATCAGTGCTGCCTCCTTGAGAGCTACTGGTGTACGACTCTGCCCTTTTCTCCCAGGTCCCGAGTAAGCACAAGAGCCACCCCTCGTTCGAGAGTATGGAGCCTCTTCAAAAGCACATTTTGATTGTGTCATATATCCCCCCCTCCCATCACAACGGGGCTCTTGGCGTCCGTCGGCTGCTTCAGGCCTCTGCGGCCCCGCTCACGTTAAACGCACCTTCCTACCCTGAAGACGTCGCTTGCGGCGTTATCGAGTCGGCGCCCCCTTGCCACCGCCGTTAGCGTTGCTGGGCGTTCCATACTGGCACGTCGAAGCCGTCTTTGCCTCTGCGGCCCTCGCATATACCTCTTCGTTTGCTTCCTAAGTTGGCGACGAGGTGTTTTTGAGCGTCTTCGGCCGATTTCCCTTCGGCGTAACCTTCCTTGACCGATCCTCTCGAGGTCAGTTCTTGCTCGACCAGCGCAGGGGGCCAGTGGCAGAGCGGTCCTGTCGCAAGCAGTTGGAACCACCGTAGCCAGACGCTCTGTAACAGCGTGGACTCTTGCATCTCCAGGCACTCCTCCTGTGTCCGCCAAACGTCACTGGCAACGCAGAAGACTTTCGTCCCTGCCATTGTTCTCGCACCTGGTGGGGTAACTGGGCCTGTGCGTCAAAGCTCTGGAGGAAAACAAACGTGCTGTTAGGATCCCCCTTCCCCAAATGGCGGACATGAGCACGCCCGTGAAGGAAGATTAGGGCATCCTCGATATCGTCGACTGTCACCACATGTCCCGCGGGCCCCAGCACCAACGGGATCTCTCGAAGTGATAAGCCCGCGCAGTC